GGGGAGATTCCTAATCTAATCTTTATCAAATTTGATTCATGGTTTCTCCTGAAATTGTCATTTTATCTTCTAAAACTCTTCAGTCATCCAGAGTAGTATGTTTTCTTACAATAGGCATTAGGTTCTTTAATTGCTCTAGGAAGGAGTTTCCTCCATGTTGACAGGAAACAACTGAGTCGGGTTAGGCATAGGGGCCTGTGAGAGGCCCCTCAAGGAGTTCACAGACTTTGAATGGCTCTTGTTGACCTACATTCATTAGTCCAATGCCTGCCTTTGCCACACCTTCTGCACAGTCCAGAAGTGAGGGGCATTCTGTTTGGATTATGCTTAGAAAAATCATTGTTTGTAGGAACGCCCTGTTTACAATCCCTTTTAAGGTGACCTTGTTGCCACAATTAAAACATTTGACATTTTGATTTTTCTTCAAACTTCTTGAAATCACCTCTTCTATCCATGCATCATCTTGGTCATGAGATTCAATATTGATTGTATCTTCCTCCAAAGGTGCTGATCTTGCCTTTAAAGGCCTAATTATCCTTTTGCATTGAGAATTAGCATTTTCAGAAGCCAGAGATTCAATTATTATTTGTCTAGCTTCTGAATCTGATATCATTCTATTTACTTTTGAAGTCAGTCTTTGTAAGAAATCTGTGAAGTCTTCCTTTGGGCCCTGTATAACATTAGTAAATAACTCAATTTTCCTTCCTACTTCTCCAGTTCTGTCCCAAGCATTCAAATCTGCTGCATGGCATAAAGCCAGGGCATGGTCATCACATAGAAATTGCCTTTCTGTAGTAGCACAATCTCATTCTCCAAGAATTTGATTTTGAGAGATTTCTATCCCTCTAGCTTTACACTGTTGTTTAATAGTTTTAGTCTCTTCTCTTAACTAATTCCTTACTTTAAGAATTCCCAATTGCCTTACCAAATCTGCTGACAATGTCAGTGAACTATTTGATGTAGCACATCTGATCTGAGAACTAGCTTGTGTCTGTGAGCTGAGAGTGGCAGCCGAGGAGAGGGGCAGTAGGGAAAGCCCAAAATACATGGTGGGGGTCGGGGGAGCCGGCTGTCTAAAAAACCCACACATGGGATTTTGTGGCAAAACACATGTGGCAAATACGATTTGAAGGCAAAGCCAGCCAACCGGTCTAGGGGAGTTTGGGTGAAGACAGTTTAGAGAGGCTACAACAGGAAAATCCCAAACTTACTCAAAGACTTGGGGAGAAAATCCTAGCTGGCCTGGGGTGGCACCCCAGCGTATAGTTCTGGCCTGGGCTGATGGCTTCAAACCCACAGGCAAGTGGCTTTTTCATGGATTTGTACCTTTACAAATTTTTTTTGTTTATTTTTTATTTGTTTTACATTCCAACCACGGTTTCCTCTCTGCATGTTCCCTTCCCTCACCTCCTTTATATTCCCCATCCACTCCTCAGAAAGGGTACTGCCTCCCATGGGAGGCAACGAAGCCTGACATATCAAGTTGAGGCCGGACCAAGCTCTTTCCCCCCTGCATTAAAGCTGAACAAGTCATCCCATCATAGGGAATGAGTTCCAAAAAGCCAGGTCCTTTGCCAGAGGCAGATCCTGGTCCCACTGCTCAGGGCAAACAGACCAAGTTACCCAACTATCACCCATATGCAGAGGGCCTAGGTTGGTTCCATGCAGGCTCTCCAGTTGTCAGTCTAGAGTCTGTGAGCTCCCATAAGGTTGGGTTAGCTGTCACTGTGGGTTTCCCCATCATGATCATATAATCCTCTTTACTCCCAACCCCCTTGCTCATATAATCCCTCCTCCCTCTCTTCGATTGGACTCCTGGAGCTCGGCCCAGTGCTTGGCTGTGGATCTCTGCATCTGCTTTCATCAGTTACTGGATGGAGGTTCTATGACGACAATTAGGGTAGTCACCAATCTGATTTTGTTGGGCAGTCTTTTCAGTCTAGGAAATGTATTGATTATTTCTATAACTGTTTCTTCTTCCTTGGTCAGCTTTTCTGTCCATATACACTATTATTGATTTATCTTAACACTCTAGTCCTTGTATCCCTTTACTTATTTTTCATCTCTTCCTGATAACTTTTGGCAGACTACCTTAAAGCTGGCATTTGTAAATTATGAATTGTTTTGAAAATCTCCATCTTGCTCTTCAATACTTCTATAAAGTTTATTGTTTTGGAGGTTTTATTTGTTTTATAATAGCAATGCCTGCTTAGGTGCCTTTTTTTTTTTTTTTTTTTTTTTTTTTTTTTTTTTTTTTTCGAGACAGGGTTTCTCTGTGTAGCTTTGGAGGCTATCCTGGCACTCGCTCTGGAGACCAGGCTGGCCTTGAACTCACAGAGATCTGCCTGCTTTGTTTCTAATAGTCTCCTTTAATGAACTTTATTCTATTTACATTTTTTTCCTCCTGTGAAGTCATCTGACTGCAGACATTAGCAGCCGTCACTGATGAGAACATGAGATAGAATCAGGAAAGCTACAGCTTGGTTTATGCCTCTCCTGTTGTGCTTAGGAAATGAAGGGGCAGGTTGCAGTTGTGTATTAGGAGATTTGCCAGGTTCCGTATCTTTTATATTATGGTTTGAGCTCCCCTCTTAGGCACAAAACTATTCCTGATCTCTTCCCTCTAGTCCATGAAGTGAGAAGACCGATAGGTAACAGAACATGGGAACATGCAAAAACTAGCCATGCATGTTAAAAATTACTTCAGGACAGGAGAGATCGGGGCTCAGCAGCCAAGAGCCTGTATTTCAGGGGGGAGTGGGAGAATGGGAAGGAAAGGGAACTGGGATTAGTATGTAAATTAAGATTGTTTTTTAATTTAAGTTAAAAAATATAAAAAAAAAGAACATGTGTTGCTCTTCCAGAGGACTGAGTTCAATTCCCCATACCCATATTGGACAGCTGAGCTGCCCATAACTACAGCTCTAAAGTGATCGAACATCTCTGAACTCCACACACGTGGCACACACTCACATAGACACATAGTCACACAAATACATTCAATTTATAAAAAAAAAAAAAAAAAAGGCCAGTTGGTAGTGGTACACACCTTTAATTCCAGTACCCAGGAAGCAGGGTAAATGGATCTCTGAGTTCATGACTGGCTTGGTCTACAGAGCTAGTCCCAGCAGAAACCCTGTCCCAAAAAAGGAATGAATGAATGAATGAATGAATGAATGAATGTGAATGAATGAATGAGGCTTTACTACCATCTGTCTCCAGTGACACCTTTGTGTTACCCAGAAGGCTTTTGACTGCCCTAGCTGTGCTGATAGTTTTACTGCCTTGCATCCACTGTTGTCTGTCCCAGATAATGTTGGAGAGAAAAAAGTTCATTAGAATAACTCTGCCAAGGGCTAGACAGATGACTCAGCAGTTAAGAGCATTTCCAAAGGACTTGAGTTTGGTTCTCAGAACCCTTGTCAGCTTACAGCCACCTGTAACTAGGTTTCAGGGGATCCAGTATCTCTAGTCGTAGGCACCTGCACTCATGTGTACAAACCCCCACACACTTATACACACACATATTCGAATTTTTAATCTATAAAACAAGTCTTTTATTTGTACATCTATAAAACAAATCTTTTATTTTTAATTTAAAAAGTAAGTATACCCTAACTTCTTGCTCTGATCTCTGGCACTTGTCTATTCTTGTCTTCTTGTCTCACTATACTGGACCAAAGTTTACTGCATTGTCCCAGGAATTTCTGTCTTTGTAAACAAAATGAGTTATTGTTTTATATCTTAATTTAGTACAGGTTGCCTTTTTAAAATGGCTAATTAATATAATTGATTACATGTGGAGATAGCTTGAATTCAATAAAATGTAGATTAAATATTTTCACATGATGAAAAGGAGGATGATTTACAGGACTTGGTTCTCTCTGTCTACTCTATAGGGTTCTAAGAATCTAACTCAGGTCATCAGGCTTGACAGCAAGCTCTTTCTTTACCCATTGAGCTGCATTGCTAGACAGATCAAAAGTACAGTTTTAGTATATACCTCTATGTGAGATAATTTTTGTGTTTGTGAGACAGTTTTTATCCTTTTTATATTCATTGCCTTGCCTTTTTTTTTAAGGATGTGTATGTACATATGCTATATGTGTTTCTGTTCATTTGTGTACTGGTACATATGTGTGTGATGGGTGTCATTTGTTATGTGCTATCAGCCTTGTTTTTTGAAATAGGTTCTCTCACTGTAACTTAGAGCTGGCCAACTCAGCTTGTCTGGCTGTCTCTTACTCCTTACCTCTGGGATTATATGTACCACCATGCTCAGCTTTTTGTGTGGGTGCTGGGATCATACTCAGGTCTTCTGCTTTGTGGCAAGCACTTTACCTGCTGGGCTATCTCCCAGTCCCACCTTCACCTTAAATAGAAGTGGAAATCAGACATAGCATTTGTATTCTGTGCAGGAATTTATATTCTGTGAAATACTTCCCTGGTTCACTCTTTGGACTCATTAGATTGTTTGTATGTTTTGATTGTTATAATAATAAATTATGGAGAAGGTGAGAAGGATTATTTTCTAGGATAAATTTACAGAATCAAATTGGGCAAATAGGTAAAAGGATCAATATTTCAGATTACTAAACAGACCGATGCCTGCAACAGAACAGGAATTCAAATTATAGTTGTTAGATGAAAGAACGTTAAAAATGGCTTTGTATGTGTTTCCACCAGTTCTTAACACTAGGGTGTGAGATCGTTTATTTTCCAACATATATTACATGTTTTGGTTATTTGAGTAATCAAAAGAATCCCAGCACTCGGGAGGCAGAGGCAGGGGGATCTCTGTGAGTTCGAGACCAGCCTGGTCTACAAGGGCTAGTTCCAGGACAGCCTCCAAAGCCACAGAAAAACCCTGTCTCAAAAAAAAAAAAAAAAAAAAAAAAGAATTCTCTGTATCTTGAGAAAATGCCATCAGCTGCTGTAATTAGGACCTACTCCTATCCTCTGTTCATCAGCTGAGTAAATGAGCATATGTTTTCTTACAGGACTGAATTTACTCTTAAAGAAACCATGTCATCTGGAGGTGCTGAAGATGACATCCCACAAGGAGAGAGGAAGACAGTTACAGATTTCTGTTACCTTTTGGATAAATCCAAGCAGCTGTTCAATGGGTTAAGGTTAGTAGACTCTTGATACATTAAACTTTTCTCTAGTTCTCCTTTCCTCCCTCGCTGATAGATAATAGGTTTCTAAAAGTTGCCAGGCGGTGGTGGCGCACGCCTTTAATCCCAGTACTCGGGAGGCAGAGGCAGGCAGATCTCTGTGAGTTCGAGACCAGCCTGGTCTACAAGAGCTAGTTCCAGGACAGCCTCCAAAGCCACAGAGAAACCCTGTCTCGGAAGAAAAAAAAAAATTTATGCATACAATCAGATATATGATGTATTTTACATATATTAAATATATATACACTGTATTAGAAATAATTGCAACTTGGTGAAGAAGCTCATGCTTGTAGTCCCAGCACTCCTACCCGGCTGAGGTAGGAGAATCACAGTTAAGTCTGAGGTTTAAATGGCCAGGTTGGCCTGACCTAAAACAAGAACCTACCTTTATATATATATATATATATGTGTGTGTGTGTGTGTGTGTGTGTGTGTGTGTGTGTGTGTGTGTGTATGTATATATGTATATATGTATATATGTATATATGTATACATATATACAAAGTGGCAGGAAAGCTAGTGCATAAATGATGAAGATCACAGCCATATATACAAAGAACAAACAGAAAGAAGAGACTGTAGTCTTTTTCTTTGACAATATTTACTCTTAGATGAAAAACCATGCATTGGGTTGAAGACCCTTGATACTTTTCCAAAGGCCCTAAGTTCAGTTTCCTGTGCAGCTTACAACTACCTGTAACTCCAACTCCCGAGGATCCAGTGCCCTCTTTGGCAGTTACACACAAATAAATCTGAAAGATACCATTACCAGTCAGCAGGCTAGGGTCTTTTGCTTTATCTTGATAGGAATTATGAGTAGGCAGGGAGATTCTTGAGTAGGGCCTATTGTTCCAGACTTTAAAAGTGTGGGACTTAAAGCTTTGGACAGTCAGGTTAGAGGATTGTAGCTCTGTGCCCCAGTATTTAGAAGCTAACATAAACCTCTTCTAGCATTGGTAATCAGGGCAACAGACAGCAAGCAAGCAGTGACTCCTAATGTTACAGCTCTTAGACAGATGTTGGAACCCTCAGCCTTTAGCAACAAGGGCATTGGGATTCTCAGCCCTCTGCACTGGTTAATGTTATATGTCTTGAGCCTTTGATGTCTATGATCCTTTGTCCTTAATGTTTGACAGCTCCCTGAAGCTCTTGTAGCAAGTAGAGCCTACAGTTTCTTACTTCTGAGCTTCACGGTCTTGTGTCATTGGCTGTGATCTTCATCATTTATGCACTAGCTTTCCTGCCACTGCTGTCTCCTTTGCAGTGCAGTTGACACTGCCTTTTCTTCCTCCATTGCTTCCTGCTGGTGACACTGCTGATGTCAGCCTTTGTTCTACTAGCTCAGTCTTCTTCACAAAATGATAAAAATCTAAAGTAGGCTAGAAAAAAGACCTTTCATTGCTGTGTCTGTTGTTGCAACACAAGGGGGCAGCACAAGACAGTGTCTCAGCTGGCTTCGCAAGTGAGCCAAACAGCCTACTTCTATAGCCAGAAAGAGGTGTGGGAAGGACATTTGCACCAACCATAGCAGATATTCCTGCCAAAAGGACTGTTTTGAAACACTTGTAGCTGGAATAGTACCTTCTAGGGACAGAGTTGCACTTTGTTAGCAAGCACTGAGATCACCCCTGTAGTTTCCACAAGATGTCTAAAGAGTGTTGGCATGAAGATAGTTGGCCAGGCAGTTTGGCTGATATTCCTTCCCTTAAGCAAGCTGGGATACCAGGAAAGGTCTAATGTCTATCAGGAGTCAAATCACCAAATTGCCCTACATCCTTGTATATTTCAAGGAAAAATGAAACATTAAAGTAGGTATGTGGAATAAAGGCTTATTGAATTATAAAATTTAACTTATAAAATTAAGTGACTTAATGGGTATTTTTATTTTAAAAGTTTTTAGATTTATTTATATGTATGACCAATTTGCCTGTATTGTATATAAGTATATGTACCATGTATGAGCCTGGTGCTCATGGAGAGGAAAAGAAGGCATCAAAACTGGAGTTACAGTTGTAGGCCAACATGTGGGTGCTGTGAACCAAACCCAGATCCTCTGTAATAACAGTAAGTGCTCTAAACAGCTGAGCCAGATATCTCTGTAGCCCTAACAAGTGTTTAACAGTGCTTTAGCAGTGCTTAACTTCTGATTCAAGGGGAGGTGTTTCCCTCTAATCTGTCTGAATAGGAAAGACAAGAAGTATTTGTTTTACTCAAGTTAAGAAGAGCTCTTTCTTTAGATGACTATTTTATTGTTTTCTATTGTTTTTATAAATGGCTTTATGTTCATTTTCCATTCATACTTGATTGGCATCTGATTTTATGCATGAAGGTATTCAGGTTCAAGCACCCTATTCTTTTTTTTTTTTTTAATGTGTATGCATGTATGTGAGTATACTGCATGCATGCTTGGATGCATGACTGGTACCTGTAAAGGTCACAAGAAGGAGCTAGAGTTATGGACAGTTGTAAACCACCATGCAGGTCCTGGAAATGAACCTGGGTCCTCTGGAAGAGAAGCCAGTGCTCTAACAACTAATGTATCTTCGTAGCACAACTGTGTGGTTTTGAGACACAATCTTCTTGAATGCAGGATAGTGTCTTCATGAAGTAATGTCTTAATTTTTAACAATACTAATAAGAATAAACTTTGATATTTTACCTTGAACAGTGGATAAGAAAATCCACCAGAGAGTCACTTTAGTGTTTTATGTGAGTGATCCTCTTCAATTTAAGTCTTAAATAAAGTTCAAATCTTCTGTGGACACTTGGGTCTTGTGCAAGGTTCATGGCAACAACCCTACTGGGTAGCCCTGGCCTCTGTTTTATAGAGATAGTGGTATTTTGATTCTCTACCAACTGCCTTGTCTACCCCTGGCTTTTTCCCCCCATTGTTGGGAATCAAACCCAGGTTTGGTGCATGCTAGGTAAGCATTCTTTTGTTGAGATATACATCCCCAGTCATTAAAAAAAGAAAATGGTTTTATTATTTAACAGTTGCTTATTGTTTCATATCTGTATCTAGAACTGTCTTTATTATTCAAATTATTTTTATGTATATGGGTGCTTTGCCTTCATGTTTGTGCACGTGCAAGTCCAGTGCCACCAGAAGAGGGCATCAGATCCCCTGAAACTGAAGTGACAGATGGTTGTAAGCTGCCATCTAAGCTAGAAGTTGAAACTGGGTCCTCTTGTAAAGCAGCCCCTGCTGAGCCATCTCTCCAGCCCCTAAAGACTTTTAGCATGGAGTATTAAACATGTTTTAGTAGAGGGGCTAAGAAGGTAGCTCAGTTGGTAAAGCATTTGCCTTGGAAGCTGAGATGGATCCCTGAGTGTTGTGATACACACTTGTCCTTGCCTGGGGAGATGGAGACAGGAGGATCCCTGGGGCTCCTTAGCCATCCAGTCTGACCAGCTTGGTGAATCTTGAGGTCAGTGAGAGACCTTTTGTTTTGGTTTTGGTTTTGGTTTTTGGTTTTTGGTTTTTGGTTTTTCGAGGCAGGGTTTCTCTGTATAGCTTTGGAGCCTATCCTGGCACTCACTCTGGAGACCAGGCTGGCCTCGAACAGAGAAACCCTGTCTCGGAAAAAAAAAAGAAGAAGAAGAGAAAAGAACATTATTTTAAATTCTGAATGTGTGTGTGTGTTCGCACGAGTGCAGTTTTGAGTACAGCTGCTCTTGGAGTCCAGAAGAAGCTGGATCCCTAACCCTTGTGAGCCACCTGGAGTGAAAGCCATGAACTGAACCCAGGTCTGATGGGCGCTGAAGAAATTCATTGTTTGTAATATGGCAGGGATAGCCATTTGGACAAGAAACTGTTTTTGTCTGGACTGTTTGACTGTATGCTATGTAAACTGGACGTACAGTACCCACAGAAAAGGGACTGCTAAACTTGCTAAGATCAGACAAGATGGTTCTTCAGGATTCCTGAACTACTACAGAGAAGAAAGCAACTGATGAACTTTGCCAATACAAGGCAGAAGAGATCTTCAAATTTCTTGCTTCATTGAAAAGTTTGCCAGATACTATGGACCTATGGGCTGAAGATGGATGCCCCAACATTACAAAGAAACTTTGGGTGACTATCTAGACAGCAAGCTGTCTCTGTCAATTCTTGATTTTATATTATATCCTTCTGGGGTCTTTGATGGAGTTAAAGACAGACAGTTATAGTTGTTTTCCTTAGTTACAATAGAAGATAAATTAGATATAAAACTTTAAACTTGCAAAGATAGGGTAATTGATAGAGTATTTTCTTTGAATTTTGCCAAATGTAAATGGACTAAATATTGTCACTATAATTTTTGCTTGGTAACTGTTTTGTTATATATAATTTTACTATATTAAAGTTAAAAACCTTACTTTTTTATTTAGACAGAAAGGGGGAGATGATGAGGGATATTCTCTGTATGCTATAACTATGTATTTCTCTTACTGTTTGATGAGTAAAGCTGTTCCGGCCAATGGACAGGCAGAATTCAGCTAGGCCAGGAATTCTGAACAAAGAGTCAGGGAGAAGGAAGGGGGGATGGCACACATGCCATGTAGCTACCGGGAAGGCAGGATCCCAAGACATCACCTAGGAAAACCAAAGCCACATAGTGATGCACAGTTTAGTAAAAATGGGTTAATAATTAAGAGAGAGCTAGCCAATAAGAAGCCTAAGCCAGTAGCAGCTCCTGGGACCTGGTGGGCGGAGAGAAACCAGTCCAGTAGGACCTGGAGTAGCCAGAGAAAAGTCTCCCATTACAAGTGACAAGTGGGGTGCTATTTGTAGTCAGAGTAAGGAAGTTCCCAAACGCCTGGAACTTACACAATGAAGGGTTAGGGTTAGGATGCTGCTCTCATCTCTCTGACCCAAGAGAGCACCAGCTTGCTCCCAGTCCATCCATAGCATCTGAGACTGTTAACTGAATGAGTTCTCACAACACAGGTCTTCTTTGAGACTAGTACCTGTC